AGCTAACCGTCAATCTCGGCTAACAAATCAAGGCCCACTTGGTCAACAACCTATCAACGCAGCTGAGCTATTAGTATTCTGATGTATATTGTTAATCAGTGACCACACAACGGTAGTCCAATATCGTAGAGAAATATGACGCATGGGCTATTCCATACATACCACTTCCTGTAAGGAAAATTCGCCACAGACTCTGTGCTCTGTTCAACTTAGGAATATTAAGAATTGACTGATGGGACTGCTTTCTTTTTCACTAATTATCCTGCCGTCACCAATGAAATTTTTCTTGCTGCTGTGCATGAAATTTTCGTCGGCAGACTAGTTAGGATACAATCGCGAATAGACCGAAAACACACCTCTTCCAGATGACCTTGCTGTCGGTATTATCCTTACCACCAAGAGGCATTGCATGTGGACGAATACAGGGTGTACAAGACAAATTCCACTTAAGAGACAAATATACATCATAGTACAATCGCTGGAGGGTCGGGACCGTGCTACACTGCGGTACACATCAGTCGTTTAGCTATTCCGCACTATCCAATGATAGCATACAATCTCTCTCCCCATACCTTCAGCCAGCGTTACGAAGATGCTGCAACCCTCGTTACATACCTACTTGTCATGAGCTCTTCACTATGAGATGAAGAGATTGGAACTTATGGGGCAGCTGCGGTTTGCGTAGTTCACTTATGCATTGAGCTGTAAAGATGCCCATGCAGCATCCGTATAGTCTGTCTTACCAAGTTAGTCAGTGGACGGGGGTTTGACAAACGCGGTCTCTTGATCGTGATTGTTAAGGGTCGGAACTTAGAATTTGAGCCAATCGAGTGAGTGGTCTGAGGCTAATCACCGTTGTTTTGTCCGTAGCGTTTTTAGCCAAAGATTTTGATTAAGGGCCCTAATCGTACTCCTGTCTAGGTTTGGGCACCCTGAGAGTATGTCAGCCAATATATGACCACCAATTTCACAGATAAGGGTAAATTCATGCCACGTCTGTATGGCACTAAGGCACAAGTATGTAATACCGGTGTATTATTATCATTAGTGATGATGACTAACTACCAGCCAACTTAGCCTTTAATTGTTTTCGGACTTTGGTGTAAACTTATTGCATTGCATCACCATTCTCCCAAAATCTGTAAGTCCCCAGAATCGGTTCTGACCTTCATATAGACCACTGGTTTGATGTGCCACTGTCAAAACGCTTGCACCGTTAAGCGTCTTCTTTGAGTTCAACTACCATACTAGCTAAGACACGGTTGTGAGCACTGAGCCCATCATGGGCTCACTTCTGGAAATTCCCCTAATTTGTGCATGAGCCTTGTCTAGCCTTCACTGTTGGACAGAATGAGGTGGAAAACACAGCACCAAGTCAGATACGCGAAGCAGTGTGGGCATGTGACATGGCCATCGTCACAGTGCCCAACATATATACATCATAGATTAAAATATTAGGGGCGAACTTGACACTGCATTTGTCACTTGACACCACTGTAAAAAGGCTATGATTCAGCCTGATTTCGTCGTATCAGCGATATCATGGATTCAGACCTGTACTGCAAGCGAAATCAAAAAATGAACGAGCGTGTTTGTTTTCCAGCCCAGCAGACGTATTCAAATGTATCAGAGATAACTAGGCACTTTTGCGTTGCATATCAGTAACAGAACATACCACTATAACGAGCACTAGCAGCAACAGTTGAAGTTGACTGGTTCACAGGGTTGGCACTGTAAATGGTATCTTATCTCACAACATACTCCCGGCTTAAAATCTACCCTTGACTAACTGTTACTTCAAACTTCACATTTTAGATACCATGTGATGGAAGGCACCCCTTGTCGAATTCACGCTGACAAGCCTCACCAACAATGATTTAGTGAAAAAATTCCCCCTACCCAGAAAAAAGACGGTTATCTTCGTTAAGTGTCCACATTTTCCTCTTCCTGTGAAGATACCTATTATGTAACAAAGCTATTAGCAGTATGTTAGGAGAAGCATTTGCAAACATATCAAAGGCATCTTATCGCAGTGGAATATCAGGAGCTGTTGTGGAGGCACATGTTTTGCAGGTTACATTGTACAAGATCAGCAGAAAGCCTACTCTTCTGATTGCCCCTCGATCCTGTTTTTGTAAAAGCAAAAATATGACTACACACTTTCAAAACCGAATAGGAGAAAAAACCAGCTGCATCCGTTAAAGCTATAATAATTTTATAATCACTGAGGCTTCTTTAATTAAGATATTGGATAAGAGAAGAATGATTAAGATATTGGAAACATTATACGTATGCCACACATCATTCTAACGAGTAAAGGGTCAATGTTCAGGAAACTTCCCAACTATGCTACGTAAAAACGTATGAGAAAGTTCTTGCGAATCATCATTCAGCAAAAATCCCTCGTAGTGGCTTCTACAGTCTCAAGGCTGTCATGTTCGCACCATAAAACACCAACAAAGAAAGTACAAAACGATCATATCAGCTAGGTAAATTATTTGTAGGCAAGCAGTTTGCAAACAAGATGAAGAACGAACACCGAGTTAAATGAGTGGGTTTTGTGACGCAAATAGTCATGTTTGACAACTCAGGGTAACTAAAAACTCCAGGGCCTGAGTAACATTTGGTACATGAAAAGCTGATGTCTGAACATGGTCACATGGATTACGATAGTAAACTCCAACCTTTCGGTTGCCCTGATAACTCCCTCCCAAAACATCTTACAGTTCACTGGAAGCCTAACCAAGCACTGATCAGCTTGGGTTTGGAAAAAGGTGAGTTAGGTATTTCGAAGCAAAGGTCAAAATGGCAGGTTTTTCTATCACAGTGCATTCAACTACGGAAAAACTTCATTTCGTGTAATATGTGGACATTCACTGGTCCAATCGATTCGCTGCTTGACTAAATTTTCGTATTTGTTTGCTGCTGTCTTTGTTTGCCATCGGCTATTACTGCGAAAGAAAGAGATCAACTTTCCAAAGATGGTAAGCACCGTCTGTTTATTTGCAATCATGATTGGTCGTAATGAGGGATATGACTGCGGGGGGGGGGTCAGAGGAAACCACGTGCTCCCTTCAGTTAAGCACATATCCCACCCTTCAAGTGAAATTTTCAGCCATACCTACTTTAAAATGGGCGATTGTAGTTTTTCGGTGCCATGCAACGAGTTCGGAGGACACTGGCCTTCCATCGGGGGTCAGGATAGTTGAGAACGTCAAAAGAGACGAATCAGTGAAGACCATCACAGTCCAGATGATAATCTCCAAAGAACTTATTCAATAAACTAGTCGAGTCGGTTTCTCAATAGAACACAATGTGACGACGGTGAAAGTGAAAGGAGAAATATGAACACCACTGTTATTGAGACCATGAATATCAGTTGAGTATTACTTTTACTGCGAGTTTTCTGGGATTCCGTTCTAACTGGCCCAACTAGACTAATAAACAACCGAGCTGTCAAACACATATGAACACACACTGAATCGGATAGAAATTTGTTTGTAAGGAAATCCGTTCCGTTCGCAGATATACCACATTTTGTATTTTCCAGGGTTGGTCTTAATGGGATGAATGTTTTTTAAACTGGTACAGGACTAGCGAATATACACTCATCTGCAAACTAATTTGGTTCTTTCGAGAGACTCACCTGAAACCCAGCTGAATCTCTCGTTTATGAGGTTCTCAGGCAACAGAATGTGCTGCACCAGGCCGCCTCATGTTTCAGTCGCTACGATATTTGATGGATTGTCAGCAACCTTATGAGTAGTACATTACACATGGTACAGGACTACTCATAAGGTTGCTTAAGACTCTTCGACAGCCCACAATTGGTTTCGCCCTTCTTGTGGCTCATCAGGTAGGCACAGTCCCCAAGTTTCCATCAACATTCTGTTCTGCTTGAAACCAAATTGCACGAAATTAGCGAAATACACTCATTTGCAAACAAATTCGTTTGTAATGTATCCAGACAACGGAATGTGCTGACCAGGCCGCCCCATGCTTCAGTCGAGACCTGGTGCAGCCCATTCGGTTGCGTGGAAACCTTACAAATGAAGGACTCTGCTGGTCTCCAGATGAGCCTCTCGGAAAAACTAAATTTATTTGCAAATGTGTGTATTTCGCTAACTGGTAGAGGATTTAAAAACGAAATTTCCCAAAATGTCTTCAAGACGGAGACAGCCCCGAGAAGGACCTGTGAATTCCAAAGCTAAGTGAACGTGCTAATGATTACTGGGCGATTCGTATATCTATGTGCATATCATCGATAGCGGTTGGAACAGTCATATCCGGAAGCTCAACTGTCTTAAATTAGATTATGTGAATAGTTAATTAATGGGGAAATTACGTTCATTCTCGCTTGAGCAACCCTCCTCCTGTCCTTGTGTACTTGTTCTGGTGAGTCCCTAATACAGGGACGAAACACTGTACTGGAATTTCGCTCTTCTTGAAACTCATCATCATCTTCCTCAAGTGTTCATCAGCCTGTTTAAAAATGATGATTCAGGTGCTTCTAGTGTGTGCTGGTGAAGTAGTCGTACCACGCGCGCCTCGCGTGCAATCAGTATTCGGAGCTCAAACCCCGATATGACCCGGGATACGTACCGCTGATGAGCTGTAATAAGAGCAAAACTCGAGTACAGTGCTTCACTCATTTGTTATGTACTGATCAGAATAACTGGCTCGGGACAGGAAGAGTGCTGTTCAAACGAGTGATGTGAGCGTCAATTTTAGGAATCTCGCAACCACCTGCCACTAAGTCTCAGAGAATCACTGGCGTCGGGTCCAATGGAGCTGGTAACTTCGTTTTCGATACGGCAGCTCGAGTGGCTGAAGCGGGTTTGCGTGGGTTGGTTTCTCACACGTACCCCGGCTTGTAAGCTAGGTGAATGTTATCGTGAACGACCAATAAGAACTATGGTAGTTGCGGCGAAGGCGTACGGAGCTTTTAGATAGACAAACACATGTCCTTCGTGTCCCAGGCCAGCAGAATGAGCGTGTCGTGGACATGTCCCAGCGGTCCACTGGACAGCCTACCGGTCGACGTTCAGACGTGGATTCTGACGCGGCACGATTAGTTGGTCTGGTTTTGTGCGCCCGAGTGATGGCACCGGGAACAGAGACCGCTGGTTTGCCCCCTTACGATGCGTCTAAAGCGGAGCCCATCTACCCAACTCAGATGCAACCCGTTTTCCCAAGTCCGGCACAACCACTCTACCAAGCCCCTTTGGCAGCACCTACAGTGAACGTTGTTGTGGAACAGCCAAAGCCGGTGGTTCCGGAGGCATACCGAGATTGGAAGGACGGTCTGTGTGATTGCGGCAATAACTGTGGGAATTGTGAGTCATTGCCCTGACGATTATTTCTGATGTGTCCCATAGCCTGCGTTGCATACATGTCAACGTGATGACGAAATAACGGCTTAACCCCACCAAAAAGCATTTGTGGTTCTGTGCTCAACTTTTTCCCAACATAGTTGTTTCTGGCATAGTCCCATAGGTTTATTGGATCAGACCATTCGTTCCCGTAGTCCGATCACCAGTCGTCACGTTCGGGAAGTCCTCATGGGTTATAAACACCAGTTTATTTCACAGTATCGTGACATCGGGGTGTAGTTTTGAATGATTGTTTTACCTGGATGTATTCTCGCAACTCGATGGCGCTCTGAACCACTCTGCTTGTGCGCTATTTTGCCACAATATGAGTCGATGCATTGCGCTTATCAGTCGTAGAACAAATATCATCACGGTGGCCATTTCCACACAAACTTAGGTGGGGAAGTCTGAAAAAACAATGGATCGCTACCAGACTGCGCTGCATGACACGCATAGTTGTAAATAAAATGTTTAGACGGATGCTGTTAAGTCTCAAATTATTCACTCTAATAAAACACTGCGCATTTCAACGGTGGGTCCTTACGATATTCACCACCAGTACTGATGGTGAAACTAGACTCATGTGCCCGTAAGTTGTCCCCTGCTGTGCAATTCCTTTTTCCTTCCGAACTATGGACTATGGCTATCTGAACCTGAAACAACAGACGGCAAGATTCCTTTCGCACACCATCATTTCTCGGGAGTCGGTCGCTTTACCTAACGATGTTATGAACCTGCTGTTTGTACGTATCACTTTGATTTCAATCACAGTACCCATGTTCCATTTGAGTTGCGTGGACAAACGGGTGCTCGTAGAATAACCGGGGTGTTACGAATACAACGAGAGCGTTTATAAATGCTGACAGGGTTCCAGTGACAAAAGTGTTCGGTCACGTGTTAGAAAGTCTTACAGCTCGTTTGAAAACATAGAATCCCGTGGTAAACCCAGGTACTGCGCTAAGCTGTAGCTTGTTTAGTGTCTAAATTGCGTGGTACACAATTATTCGAAGCGATACGCTAAAGCAATATCTCGTTCTGGTCGGCCAGAATGATACAGAGGAGGTACGGGTTTAAACGTTGCAAAGTTCGCAAACCAAGCACTGTCGACATAGAATGTCGGAAGACACTCTGCACATGGTTATTGAGCAATGTGAATGTTTGGAAAGTAATACTTACCGAAGAGTCTATGTTTGCCTCAACAGAAGAATACCAATTCTAGGTGTTTCGGAACCCTGCTGTTACAATGCTTTGGGCCATGGGTGTTCAAAACCGACGAGCAGTACCCCATTTCCTAGCAACTGTTACTAAATCTGTGGAAGCCGATTTTACGCTGACGTTTTGTAGATTTTTGAGAATGGTGCTTGCTCTTTCCGTCGACACTCCTAAGCACGGCCTTTATGATCCGATCTCATAACTGCGCAGACCAGTTACTTGTGTCAGTTTGTCTGTCCCTTTGAACTACTTCCACCCATATAGTGCGGCCGAATTCGTTTTCGATTGGCAATAAGGGCTGTCTGTCGGTGATGTAGTGCCTGAATTTTGCGTATACAAGGGTCCATCTAAAAGGGTATCTTTGATTGGAGAACGTTCGAAACCTACGCATAATTTTGTGGCCCGAGTTTTCTGGCATGATAAAGAAGGGAAACCCTGAGCAGGTGACCACAAAGAAGAGCACAGTCTTCTCACGAAAACCCACAATTAAACTTGAAACAGTTTCCGAGCAATCAATATGCTCCTCTAATTCACATTTTAGTCCCGTCTTCTGTGGCTGGTAAAACCAATGACTTGTCCAGGCTCCTGTTTTTTGCCACACAAAGACTAACTGTGCAGACAAGTTAGGCTTATGATTAATCCGGCAAGCAATCAGGCCGGGCGAAGGCACGTTGCATGTTGCCTACATTAACGACTCTTCAAAACAAACAACTGGTGAGTAAATTTTGCAATTATTTTTAGAACGATTTAGGATCTTGTTCACTCCTCCTCATTTAATTATCCCTCTATTCTGAATACACAGAAGGAAAATCTCTTGTGTTATAGTGAGGTAAGCATCGGCCTGAGACTATTACGAACTGATAAAGGTTAAATCGTTCACATTCACGTCAACCACGTTCGAGCAGCTCTCCAATCATGCCACATTTATTGCGGGGCAGAAATGGACTCGATTTTCTGTCTCGGTAGAAGCTCATCAGTAAATCAGTCAACGTCTTTCGCCGTACTGGCGTTTGAAACCCGGAAGTCTGAATTGTAATACGACCGTGTTACTTACACTACACCTGGAGGCACACCGGAGGCATCTGAATAATCTAGTTTGAGCAGGTGAACGTCGTCATGCTTGGACGATTTGATTACTTCGCCCAACGACTCGAGCCGTCGATTGATCCGCCCATCAGGACTTCCCATTCGGGCAGCGTCACGGAGCCTGAGGTCTCCTGGGTAGTGGTCACCAGTTGTGTGTGGTCGCGGTCGACGCATGTGCTTGTGTATCCTCATCAAGTGAGGAAGCCTAAAATTAGATGCGATTGCTTTGCTGGATGAGCTTGAGCGATAGAAATTTGAACCCAATGATCTGTCGGATACTTGAGAGCATTTTCAAATTCTTTATGGGTTGAAAACAGGTTATTGGAATATGCTCTTTGTTGGAGGCATTCAGACTGCTGGTGAATGACAAAACTTTTCACAGCATGTCGCTATGTAATGTTAGTGATGCCTTTCAACTGCTGGTGGAGGGTTAGTGAGGTTCGTCGGACTAGGCTAATCACTTCGATTCACTTTTTGTAGAATGACGATTGTGGTGTGCAAATATTCCTCAGACTGACCCCAAGAGGTCAGTTTTCTCTGCCTTGAACACGTCTGCTTTTCGACTGTGCGAAAACATGTTGGATTGAATGTCCCGGATCGGTTGTTTATCAGGTGGCTGTTGATCTGTCTGCCGAGCTTGGCAACTGGCTTGCAAACGTTTCGTCACCATACGAGGAGACATTATCAGTGCGTAGTACTTGTTCCTTGCCTGAGTGCATTTATATATAGCATTCGGAGGCTATCTGTTATCTTCTGACGTGATTGGCTACTTGAAGTGTAACGAATTTAGTGAATCTATTGGTCCGTTTGTGATTTTTGTTAGATTTTTGTTTTGGACAACACGTCTATTTTGAGCGCTCCGTTTTGGAAACCACAGGCAGAATGCTATGGAATGCCTGCCCCGACGATTCTCCAAAAGGCGAGTTGGAAGTAGTAGAGGGAATATTCATCCGAAATCGATATCCACTGTTCGAGGAGAAAACTGTACATCCAGTACAAAACGGACGGTAAATAGAATCATTTCGGAAGAAACTCGTCCGTATATATTTTCCTCTCAACTGTGACCTTACGCGTGGATTAAGGTGCCAGATACCCTGAACAATCTCAAAACGACTTACACATTAACAGATTTACGTGCGATCTCCCGAGCGTGAAACTGAGGATCAATTTGCCGCAGCCCGTATACAGATTTTGTTCGTACTCATTTGATTGCCTATGCAAGACATATATTGTTCTTACAACGAGGCGACTGTCTGATAGAATCTGTGAACACTGTTTAGCTCGGTTAGCAAAAGGAACTAGAATACCCAATTCCATTTCAACTGCTGCGCATTCGTTCCTACCGAAGCCTTTCAGGTAGTGTTCCGAATCCCGAAAAGTCACTCGAATTCTCCGCGAACTCGACTGCTTCACGTTGCCGAGACGAAGTTCATCGAATTGTTTAAATGTGACCTTTGTTCGCACGTCCATTGAGCTTAATCGGCTGAAAACAATTACAAACCATAGGTTTGGGTGACCTTTGCTCCCATCCTCACTACGCGGATTTCAAGCGAGTCGTTTTGTAGTGTGAAGGTGAAGCGATTATCTTTCCGGTACTTGAACGTGAACCCTATATAGCCTGTTCTTAGAAAAATGGCGCGTAGCGTACTTTGGATATTTTGCAACGTTCAGCAGCTATGCTTAACCTGGCCATGTTGATCAGATAGAAATAGTTCATGTATTATTTTCTGGTGTTAACATTCGTTCCACCAAATGTTTGACCTCCAGCTGCTTTGCGCTTGATCGTCAGCTGCCTTTTGAGTTTATCGTCATGCATGTAAGAAAAGAGTCTTTCGGTTTGAGGAAGCGTACTTTAGACCACTTGGGCATTATTGCTAATCTCACGTCTTCATCAAATTTAGCAACGCTTTGCAAACGCAAGGTGTAGTACATCACTGTTGGATCTCTTTTGAACCAACAACCATTTTACCTCTCTGCTATTCTGTCGTTCATGTTACGTTTTCAAATCCGATATATCGCAAGGGACTCAACTTCAGTCTCACCTACAACAAACCACTAACCGACTCTCGGCTCTTTCAGGCCACGTGGTATAGCGGTTTTCTTCCGTTCGTTCCTATCTCCAAAGCCTGACGGATCAGCCGCTTAACGTGCTGTGACGGTTATTGTGCCTCAGTGAACGAATCAGCTACACTGAGCGGTGTCCATGCGACAATCGCAGAGTTTCTCATACCAGGTTGGTCAGTGGTTAAAGGTCTGACCAACCTGTTCCTCCAGGTTCGGACATTGAATGACTTGTTCTTCAAAAAATGTGATGCACTGCTACTTTCCACCAAACACCACTGCTTTGCGGTCAGGTTTTCGACTTCAAAGGCTATGGTTGAAAATATGTGTCGTTCCCCCGTCCAGGTTTGGGTGCCCTGGTGCTATCCAATCTGGTGGACAAACGTGGCTCTACATATGAATGTGTCATTTCATGTCCTTCATCCACCTCGTAGGCTGGATGCTGCAAGCAACACGTCCGGCCTCTTCCTGTCTGGACCTTATGTTGCATAGTTTGAGAGGGATGCGAAACCGTGCGAGTGTTGAGCTCGCAGCATCAGGCTAATTTGAGACCGCACCATCGCTGTTAGTTGTGCCAAAGGCACAGACAATTTTGTTTGACTTTCTGGCACTGCTGCCGGCCGAGCGCACAGGTTAGCTTGGTCTTCCTAACATAAAATTTATGTCTGTCAGAATACACGGTTGGCGGACATAGCCTCAGTCGTTATTTTTGCTTTTTCCACCGATCCTCATCCAGTGCTACACTGTGTGTAGCGGCACCCAGCTCCATTTTAGACAACGCACCTATCCGATCTCAGGGTCAAGTAATCAAACTGTGGAAACCAGATTACTTATGGTTGTAGGTACCCGCACTGACGCTTTGGCTGGCTGATAGTATGCTGGACCACTGTGCCTACGAGCCCAAGGCGGGTGTCCACGGCTTGGAACGTGAAACTCAATTATTCCGCTGTCAGAAGAGAGCGGAACAGATAGATGCACCATCGCACCATAGAAGCTGTTATAATTGTAGGAGTACCGCTATTTTAATCCAGAGGGTTCTGTGTTGTGATATGAACGTACTGGGCGCCACACGGACGGAACAACACCGACAATTGAGTTTCAAATGTATGAAATGGTGCAGATGGTGTGAGCAACGTGCAAAATGTTCGTGCCTGATGTACGGACATGGTCAATGGACCACATACGATATGCTGTAGAAAGACGGCTCAGTACACGTCTTTCGAATAGGCGTTTCTTGACTTTTCAGAAGGGCTTGGTAAATAGTCGGTGGTTTTTACCAAGCTCTTCTGAAACGATGACTTCTCATTCGGTTCCAAACCTTTTCCAACCGTTTCTTGCCTTGAGAGATTACACATCCTAAAATTACGGATGCTTTATAGCCAGAGAAATGCATATGAAACATGAAAATGAATTAGCTACTATTGATGGTGTTCGAAGACATCACATCAGACTGCAGAAAGTTGCAACAGTCTAGCCACTGATGCCGTTGGAACCACAATATCCACTGGTGACTGTCCTTCCAAATAAATCTTACCAATGTACGATTACGTTGTCCACAAACATCACTCCTCTAGAACGACTTAATTTGTCTTAGGTGATGGTCCTCGTGGGATAGACGGTCGTACAAGCCTACCTGGAATTTTGAGAACATGCAACTTAAGCTCCGATGTCCAAACAGTAACGTCATGGTTCTCCTTTATTGTATAGTATCATAACCACTAGCCTATAAGGTGCACCGTCATTGTTGAAAAACTAGGTGAAGGAGCCTCCCCCCTCGCTACCTGAATTTGCACCAATTGTGAGTGATCACATTCTAAGCACCATGTTTTCAAATATCAGACTAGGAATTAGGGCACAGAATGCAACAACCGCGTTTACATTATGCGCGTTCTCCAATGTGTGACCACCGATGGTCAGACGGATGAACTGTGATTAGCTTTGGAGGTACGCGGATTTGAGTATGGACCCGTTAATTTTAGCACGTACTTGTCGGGCCTGTCCGTTCTGTCCACATAAACGACCAGACACTCGGAGTCGGTGGATGGATGTGAGGGTGGACCTGGATTGCGACTGGAAGATCCCCTCCCAGTTGAAAGGACTAGGGACTATGTGGAAGTTTTGAGACAGGAACTGTGATTCAAACCACAGCGGCTGATAGCCGAGGCAGTGGAAATTATCAAGCATCAAAACGTGAAGAGAATGGAGGGTTTGGAACTGGTGAGCGTATGGAAAGCGGTCCTAGACAAACCGAGTTGACACGTGAATATGTGTGTACGTAAAATGATCAGCAAAAAGCAGGGGGTGGAAATCCCAACCAAAGTTCAGAGAATCTTTCTTCCGTACACAACTATCGTAGCGCTAGCTCATCCACACAGGCGAACGAAAGTTCAAACGACGCTCAAGAAGGATGTTCACATGAACCGAACGGTAAGAACTAGACCCAAGTCCATGTAAGTTTCCTCTTTGGATTAACACTTGGTGATGCACCCTAACAAACAAAAATACCTTGGCTCACACCTATGAACGCGAATTAATCAGCAGTTGCTACGTTCATTGACTTCAGCACCGACCGATATATGGGTAGGATTGTACTGGTCATTCATATTGTTTCCAAACCTATTCGTCTGCAGTGCTTCGCGGAGCGCAATGACTGTCACCCCAGTTTGGACTGAGACACTACTGTGATATATCGGTTAAGAACATTGACGAAAGCCGCCAGCCTACGTCCTGGTTATGGGTTCTCAGGCTGATGCTTGGACATGATGTTTATTTACCCAATCCTGATACGCACTGGCTTGATTTGTTGCTATGGTTAGAATTCTCACATACTGGTTGTTTTTATATTGGAATTTCAGTTTGTCATCGCTCCACGTTGTGTTCACTGTTGCTGACAGCGCTATCTGCACTGAGATTATGCTAACCTAGGTTTATTGCTGAGATCGTGAACAGACATATCCAGCTTTTCCTGAACTGATCAATGAGGAGTGACCTATTCATTTCGCATACGGCGCGGCGACAAACTTGTTGCTAGTCGGTTTTCCAAGAAGTTGAAGCAAATAAGTATCTCGATGTTCAGCATTTGCTCTGTACGAAGATTTCAGTCCATAATAGCAGTCCATAGTGGTTCATTTTCAAAGGACAAACCAAACAATAAGACTACAGGGGATGGTATGCTGATGCGGCTTTTGTAGATTTTGTGCGAACCAGGTAGTGAAACGGTAATTCCTCGATGCCTGGCATGATAAACATTTTCGCTGGAAAATGAACAAGCGTTCAAATTGATACTGGCAGTTTAGTTGGTAGAAGTAAAAAGATCCGCGATCTAGGCGTACACCGACCTTGACTCGGCAGGTTTCCATGCCACTGTTTCAGCCACTGCTTTAACAGTATGTTTATTTAGGCATGTGAGATCTCATCCTCTATGACAATGCTAAGCGCTTTGGGTCGTATGGTGCCTCTTCTTTCAGAGAGAACACATATTGTACTGGTCACAATAGTGTTCGACCCTTTTGTCCAGGAACACAAATGTGAAACGCATTTAGTCTTCGGTGACTGTATCAGATTTGCGCAACCATTAGATTACCACTCAAAATTACCAGCTCTGTTTGGTCCGTTCCAAACTCTTTGCCACAGCACATTGAATACCGAAATGTTACACATTTGACTGCCCCTGCGATACAGCGATTCCGACTGAATATGCGCATTTGGATACCACATCTGGACTGGACTGTCTTCCGTTCACACCACCCATGGGAGGTAATTCTGAGTCTTTGATGTTGCGACTTTTACTTGTCTGAACCGCCAGTTTTCTAATACCGGGATACCACCGGGCCAGTTTGACAGTTGACAACTGTTCAATCAGAGACCTAGGCACCTGAATTCTATTGAACATGAGCTAGAACCATTAATCAAAACCTGAGGAGAGAATACGTTTCATTACGATTCTTCCGGTGATAGAACGAAGTAAGAACACAAGCAAACGGGAATCAGATAGCAGCCAAGATGCCTGCCTACTTAGTTTTTTTCCGAATGGCCCGAGTTTACAACTTGCCGGAATCGTGAGTGATCTGCCCGACCTGATGATTACCAGGGGGGAACCCCTCTTAACCAGTTCGCCTTGTCGGTATCGGCTCCCATTTAAATTCTACGAAAGTTACACTGGTAGAACTATGTCATCTCAGAAGGAACATGTTCCAAACCCTAACCTAACTCTCGCTATTGGCTGAATGTTTCCAGCGTTATCATTTGGCCAACATTTGTTGACACGTCACCCTGGTTTATCACCAGCCTATTTCACCTGATGTATGTTGAGGTTTTCGGGGGCAATTGTCAGTGATATGACAAAACCTGGTCTGCGCTTTCAGAAACAGCCGTTTGTAACCATTAGGTTGTCCTGGACATAGTGAACGGAAGTTCACCGTCTTGCCATTTGTCTTTTTCTGGGCTCCGTCATCTAATGCCTATCAGTTCAGCCAGAGTTATACTCTTCAGAGACGTTTTATGGTAGTGAGGAGCCCATGCGTAATACCTCCATGAATTAATATCTAACATACCAATATCCATCTTCTGTTTTTTTGGATCCCACCATGTCTGTTTAAAGTCTTTCTAAAAAATGACACAAGAGTGTCAAAAGTATAGCTATAATACTCATAACATTGCTAGAAATTCTTCGACAGCTTAGAAACATCATAAACTAGAGATTCATCTGGGTTCTAGGTGAGTCTCTCACAAAATCAAATTTGTTTACAAATGAGTCTACTTCGTTAGTGTAAAAAATAGTTGCCCCTCTCCTGCAGAACTGGTAAGGCTTGAGTATGTTACACTGATGAGATTTCCTTTTCCCTGGTCGCATCAAAACATGCGTCCTTCTATCGGTTCAGACGATGATGTCAAATTTAGCCTCAGTTCTTCTTAGCCAGCCAGGATGGATAAGATGGGCTATCAAAACTGCCGTAGTTCTGATTCCATCTCATTGGTGATACGTTTCACCTCTGTATCCAGTGGTCATCAGTGCCGAGTGGAACCTAAGGTTACCGTGTCTATTTGCCTAATGGACCATTAGGGTTGTGAAGGTATTTCTCTTCCGGCCATACCAATCACCGCTGGACTGCTTGCGTGGTCAGAACTCCTTGTACCCCTGTTCGTGAGGTATGTAACTGTCACTTCTGTTTTTTCCCGAAGTGTACCGTACCGGTCTATTTGGAAACAAGCTAGATTAATTTGATCGTTCAGTATAAAAGTACTTTCCTTTCAGTTATGCTTGTACTATAAACAATCGAACCTTATTTCGCCCCCTACTTCGGAAATGGATTTCGTTGGTCTGGGATAGGGTGATATTTGACCTTCGAACCGCCTGTCGGTAGAGATCATTTAAATCACGTGATACGTGCTTTAAAAAGGTCCTGTAGTTTATTTCGCGCAAAAACACAAATGACTGAACAGTTAAACGCAAGATCCGGAAGTAACTACCCATTTCACACGGGGCGCAATATATCCCATCAAGACTGCCTTCAGACAAGGATAGCTTTTTGTCCTCAAGCGGATCACTATCAACATTGCATGTTGAGATAAGCAAAGTTACCACAAAAACTCACTACGGCTTATTGCGATTTTCCAAACTCCACTGAAGAAAATCACCTTGATCAACAACACCTTTGATCATGCACGAGTGTGTATTTAGGTGCAGCTTCTTTCATAACAAAAGTGTTTTAGGACTATATTTAATACTTCTTCTATGTCTTCTCTTCAGGCATTCTTACTGCTCTTTTCTACCCGTGCATGGTGTGCCACATGTATAAGCTCTACGGAGAGTGTTGCTGCACACCACTTGTCGTGCCTATGGCGGACATGGTACTGAGTGTAAAACACCGAAGTCGGCATCGCATTGTCGTAAGTTTATCTTCTATGTGTTGGTTGTTATGCTTGATGCTGCCTTTTTATGGCTAGGATATGCAAATCGATGACCTGTAGGTTGCGCACACTTTCTTCTCCGATCAACTGTCTATTAGTGTTATGTTGCTCTCGGTCTCGTTTCTATACGCGAATGGCGAACAGGCCGTCTGAAAATTGATGCCCATCCTTCTAAACAGTACCTGTTTCAGCGGGCTGTTCGTTGAGTGAGCCGTGAACTGTGTTCGAATGCGGTCGAACTTATGACTGCTGATCGGTATCCTTTATGAATTTCCATGGGAATTTCCATACGGAAGCCCACGGCTGGTATCGAAACAAATCAACAAAAGCGCCTCCTTCTAGCTGATACTACTCGGTAGGGAAGGTTTCAGTTCCGGTCGTCATCAATTCCACATCTCTGGCCGTCTACAATTTTGTTGTGGTATGTCACCTGAACGTATCCATACCCGATAACCGGTCTAACGCTAATCTTGCAGGGCACAGGCAGCCTGACTTCTCCAACTGGCAGTTACTGTTATCGCTTCAGATCTCTTGTATCCAACTCGTTAGCATAGACATGATACTTATCACTGGATGTTAGCTTTTAATTTGTCCCGCTCAACCATTTAACGCAAAACACTAAGGTCGCATGCGGTAACTTTGAACTCAGTCACCACCCCCAAGAGAGCGGAACGAACTGACAATCAACATTTCGAGGAACTCATATGAGTAAAACAGTCAAAGCCAGATATTTTTTCAAACGTTATTGGTTAGGGATCCATGGGGTACGGCCTAACTGTGGTTTAAGGTTCTGCCTAAATAGTGGCACAAGAACCCAGCCTTTGGGATCTATTCGATGAAATGGTTATGGATAACGATGTGACCGCCAACCATCTGGAATCATCTTAGCTACTACCCTAAGAACGCACTATGCTGCGTTCAGCTATGCCTTCCTGCCAGTACGAATGTCTCTGTAACTTCTGGACTACTGATACATCAAGTGGGAGATGGACAATTTGGAGTAAAGTCAGTGGTACTCCCATAGAACAATTCTCTAGTTGTTTGAACTGGGCACAGTCGTGAAGCATGGTAGACCCGTCTTAGGGCCTAATTTATGCCTGTCTGGTGTCATGGAACTCCACCTCACAACTGAGCCACTGGAATTTATAGACTGGCTTCTTTTGAGTTTATTTAGGAAATCGTTGGAATGTTCATCATTAGGGATAGTAAAAGGTCAACGTAAACGCGTGTACATCATTCACCATCCACCATCCTATCAGTTTCTGAGATAGCTAGCTTAGTAGTGCGCCGAATAGGGTATGCAGTTCAACGTCGCTGATTTGTCTGTGGATGCAAACATCACTAACTAATGGAAAACACGAGACCACTACAATCACAGTGGATTTGTTTTGTGTACCTCCTCACATCTGCAGTGATCGTAAACACGTTCAAGGTGCAATGCGTAGAACAAAGTAACAGATCTTCAGGCCAGATTTAGTTCCAATGCCTTGGTGCCGGATGACTTTTTTCCTCCCGTTCTGCACCGACTGATGTTTGTTGCCCCGACTTGTGCTCCGTAACGCGAATCGCACATTTGCACTCCGGTCGAACGGCGACAATGACCTTGAAGTGCAAACGACTGCGGGCGACTAAGCTAACGCTGCGATTTAACCCGTAAGGCCAAATCATGTGCGCGCGGAATCGTGTCTACTTAAACGCCATGCACGAGTCACCCATCAGTGAGATAACGAAATAATTTGTGGGGTCAGTGCAAAGCAGTCACGAGACTAGTCACTTTTGAATGTAATCTCTCTCTCTCTCTCTCTGAGTGAAAAAGAGGGTTAGGCGTTGAACAATCGTCCTCCTGTCCTTGTGCAGTCATCCTGGTGAGTCCACACCAAAGGAGGGAAGCACTGAACTCGAGTTCCACTCTCACTAAAGCTCATTAGCAGTGTATTTCCAACATGCTTACCTCGCATGTCAGATGTGCGGAGTTCAAACCCCGGTACGGTCATTGGATATGCACTACTGATGAGCTCTAATAAGAGCGAAACTCGAGTCTAGTTTTTCCCCCTTTAGTGTGGACTCACCAGGATGACTGCACAAGGACAGGAGTACGGTTGTTCAGACGTGAGTCATGTGAGTGTGTTCTAAAAAAAGGTTTGCTCTGGGCCTAACGGAACTAAATCAGGAATCACAAAGCATTCCGGTTGTTGTTTTTTCTCGGTGTGTATTTTCTCTTATCGGCAAATGCTTCGCTCGGATAAGCCCGCATATCCCAGTCTTTTATTTCTGTTATTATTCACCCGATTCAAGATGACAGGCAAATAGTGAACTTGGGTTCTGAGTCTCAAAAAAAAACGGTGAACATCACGGCTAAAATCAGATATCGGTGTGCTTACATGTCTGTGCACGTTTTAATGCACGTTTTGATTCATCCATGACCTTGTGAACTGCGTTCGATAACGCTGACTTAGTGTACATAGTGTGCCAATCGAATGGATAGGGACGGGCAAAACATGATCAAATTTTTCAGTGATTGTCGCCGGCTGCCTTGGCGGTCTCGCTAATCGCCACTTTCGACAGTCTTTCAGCAGTCGAAACCGCAGAACCCTTGGAGTCAAAAGAAACGCACGGAGGTCTCATACATGTGCTCAGTGGGGCGAAAATATCTATGAAGTGATGCGCGTTTTCAAATAGAGGCATAGCCAACACCAACCGATAGCGTGACCGATAATTATAAGGTTGATTCGCAAACTTAGTTGAGTGGAAAACAAAAGTGCGAACCCATCAGCAAGACACAGTACGTCGACAGAAGATGGGGAGTCATATAGTATCCCGGGTTGCGTCAAGAGAAGTCTGAAGAAAAGTACAAGGTGGTTGTCGCCAGTCTGGTTTCGTACTTGACTGCGTATTGCTCCCTAAAACAACATAAAATACTTTGTGGTAAAATTATGCACTCACATGAACTTTGAATCGGTGATCCAGTCATTTTAAATTCCGCCAATGATGATTCTGCTCGCAACCTGTTCAGCAAAAAAGTTGGACACCATCTCTAATGGGATGTGTCCAACTTCCCTGTGTACCCCAAAGATAATCTTAGGGGTTCGCGGGATACTGATACAACCCTGATACAAAACTGACTATTCGGGCCTGGATTTCGAATTTGCTGTCTTTGGCACGTTGTTCTCAAAGCGCTTTTGTTGACCGCATAACTGAAAGGCCGTAAAAATATCAAGTCAGATGATAATAGTCACTCTAATCAAAGCCGGTTTGTTTCAAACTGTCGTGCCGACACTACGCAAGCCTTTGTATCGAGCGCTTTAGGTATGTGTGGATGAGAGATGTAAGGCTGGTGGTGTGAGGAGATTTGGGATTTTTGTGGGATTTCGTCCTGTAAGTGAAGCCAATCTATGCTTCTCGGCTTTTCAGCATAGATTGGCTTCACTTACGGGACGAAATCCCACAAAAGATGTAAAGCTGTTAGCACTTGGTTACGTACAGCAACCAGTACGTTGGTGATTCGTCGGTCGGATCCTACTAAAGCACGTGTGTCCGAAATTTGCGCAAGCACACGCAGTCTATGTTGCACTGGGTAGATGAAGCCATTAACTTAGTGGCTCGTTTATTTTGTAGCGTGGCGACTTACCGTGTCTCAAGGATTTTCGAGGTTTGGGTAGCCGTTCTACCGGGTGCCAAGTTTTCCCCCTGAAAGTTGTCTCAACAGCTGGATTTTGGGCGTCGTTGATTTTCAACTCCATTCTTTTGCTGACCGTCCAACAAAGCTGGTGGTTTTGCATGAGACTGCATTCAAATTCGAGAGTGCTTGCCCTTAGAAGGACTTTGCTCTTAGAGATTCTGTCATTCCGTTTGATTCCAAAGATGTTACGTAGATAGTGCAAGTAAACTCAGCCGAGAAACCGAACTTTTTGTCTATATGGCGACTGGGGCCCGGAGCAGAGTGAAGTGAAACAGTTAGGTTACTCCTGACCGCTTCACCATTATTGTTTGTAACACCATTTGTTTGAAGCAGTTGGAAGAATTGGGAACCAAACACAGTGATTCAACGAAGTCTGTCATATTGTCGATGAACGCCCTACCCTGTGACCTCGAACTATGTTATCATAAGTCGCTTCGGTGAATTTTGTGACCAGCTTATTTGTGCATAGACAGTGTGGTTTGGTTAAAGGTCACGAGCATTGAAAAATCTCTAGACTACCCTGAGAGGACGTGCATTCTAGGGGCGATGCAATGTTTGTTCACAGTTCTCCTAGCAACCATATAGGACATAATATCTGCTGATTTTATGGACATAGAAGTAACACTTGTTGATAACTCCAGTATTTTTCTAAGCAAAAGGTTTTGCGAAGCAGATGTTCCGTCTTCAAAAGGAACTTGAGCTTTTTCGCGAGAATGGCTGATGATAAAACTAATAGTGTATGAGTGGATAACTCAGGATTGCAATACCACCAGGGTTGATAGCAGAAGAATTGTAGAAATCCTTGGAAAATATTACCAACGGCACTTGAAACGTCGGATCATGACATCTTATCCGATCGCACTGTTTTCACTTTAAAAGTTCCCATAAGCTGTTGAAAGAAGCCATAATGTATGATGCTACTGACAAGAAGGGTAAATTTTCTGGATAGCTCACCAGCATTGCTAATCCTCTTGAGGCTCACCGGATAGGCCTAGTCCCTGAATCGCCACCAACCGTATTTCCTATGTGATGGAACAGATGTCTTCCCGAGTTTCAGTTCTCTGACTCTTCTTTGTACGCTGTGATCAGCTGGGTTGAAAGTGCCGACCATTCTTCCCGTAATCACAGTTTTTATTCCCTGTCTGAAGAGATAATTGCAATTGATTAACCTCATCATGTTGCAAGTGTCTCCCAGAAATCTGATAAAGCGGTTCACAGGTTTCCACTAACAAAGTTAAATCTGAAGCAAATTTCAGAGACAATACCTCACAGGCTAGTTCTAGCCTGCAAATTCAGATGTCATATTCTGCCTGAGCTGTGATTGTTCACTTAAACCTATCTGACGAAACCAGCCTGAGACAAGGTACATCGGCGCGAAGTGGAATTAGTGTCCACGCAGCGGTCCGCCTCCGCAATTTTGTATCAAACCGAGACCGTACAACCGTCTTAGTAGTCTGAACTCATCCAGTTGCAAATGGCTGAGTTGGAATGAATAGTGGGGACAGATCAGGTTTTAATTCGTCAATCCGGTTCAGCGGGTTCTTTCCAATTCCTGTAGAACCTGGGCTCGAGCCCACAAATGTATGGTCCGTTACTTTTTTTCGTTTATTTCCAGCATTTAGAAACAGATGAGAATTGTTGCTAGAGAGACAACTATACTTCCCTGCTTCAGATGTGTTCTTGAACTAACCTAATTCAACACTTACCACTTTCTACATGAGTCGCTTTACACAGGCCATCCATAACTTGCGGACTTTCTATCTCTTCCTTAAACAGGGTAGTGTTGCCGGAGATTGCTGTACGTTCGTGTGCTGTGGCCCGTGTGCACTCTGTCGCCTGTATCGTGATATGACATTTGTCGAGGCACTCAAGGGATCGCTCCAATAAGCTGTTGCATACACCTTTACAACATGTGTGTCCTTGACCTGATGTCGGCACATTTATCCTCATCCGAATTTGTTATTCCGGAGATTTGACCCCCTATTGTATGATGATTCTTACATAAATATCATCCTATTTATCGGATTATTCATGTAGTACCCGGCAAATCGTGACTATTTGAATCGAACGAATGAGAACAGAATGAGCGCTATTTAGGTTACCTTTTCTGTGCGATTTCCCCATCGCTGCTTATTTCAGGATATTCATGGAAATCAACACTTGCCATGTGTGCAGTTGTTCGGGAAATTTATGGCAAAGTTTCATCTGATATGCATGAACCTCATAAACCTGGCGTTGTTAGCTGATGGGATGCAAAATACCGGTTCAGACATTCAACACCACCGTCATTATCAGCTGCAAAAGCCGCGCACTTGTTGTACATTGGTTACGACTACCGCAGTTTCGTTCACCGATGATTTGGTAAGGTGGGACAGATAACTACTCATTCCAGGTGGTAGCTGATACAAACGCAAAGTTTTGTATGTGTGTTAGCATTGAATGTGTTTCGTCGTTACTATTCGCTCATTCTCTGAAGAGCATAACCAGATTGGGTGCCGAACGATCAAAAGTTTCAATATTTGGGATGCGTTTCAGTCACTTGTCGGTGTTCTATGCAGATAGACTTTTTGTCATGTTAGACGATGTTTGTTCGACTTGGAATTCGCCGAAAAGTTGATGGTGTTGAGCGTTGCACATACAGATAAAGGAATCGGTGCACACTTTTCCCCTGAAATAGCATGAAAACGATTACCTGTCTCTAAAACGTAGCTAAGCCTTACGAAGTTGTCATATCGGGGGTGGCCGTCCATTGGTTACGCCTGCACTGAGCCTGTCAGACTACGCGATAGAAAGAGGACATAGAAACTGGGGACACGGCTGTATTATCAGACAAAACATACAGAGCGTCTGCGTAGATATATATGATGACTAAATGGCCAAATATGGTCGTTCACTTGTTCGCTCCGTGCAGCCAATGGTGGTGTTCCGGCCGTGAACAGTGAACAGTGAACAGTGAACAGGCCCACTACGCTGGTCTTATGTTGCTAAGCCATGTTTTGTCCGAGCCGCGAACTCACCTACTTTCCGGACGTGTCGTACCGATGGTGAACTTGGGGATAGGTCACTCTCTGCACATGTGCTTTTTTCCTGTCTGGGTGCGTCCTGACAAAAACAGTCTATCGCCATCTCGTAGTGTGTGTGTGCTTGTGCGCTCTCTCCAGGTCATTTATTATAAGACCTCTGGACGCCACAGTTGATCCTTCTCTTATCGCAGTGTCTGCCATCGATGACCGCACAGGATGTGATCTACTCACCTAGTTTTGGCTGCGTGTGCCCCAACTCCGCATGTAGGAACATCTCGATCCTCGAAGTGTTCTTTATGGTTATGGGTGGCCTTAACACTGGCTAAGCGCCAGAACTTCGGGAAAAATATGCCTACCATTCTTACTTGGTCAGTTAACCAAATCGAGCATAGCTCCTTAAAGCAGCAAGAAATCCTGACAGATTCTACTCCTTGATGACCCTCAACCGATTATGTGCAAATCCTTCTGACTACTTGATAAAATACGGTCTCGAACACAGCCACCTGTACATAAAATAGGTTTTGGTACGTACATTGGGATCTTGAGAAGAGGAATTATCAAATATTTTGATAGCGACCGTATTCCTTTGTATATGCTATAAAAACCAGTCTCTCATTGTGGTGGAACAAAGAACAAATCGAACTTCAGTTGACTACTGTGAAGTAAGGACTCTTGCATCAGCCTAGGTAAAAATCACAATTGTTTTGAGGCAGTGAACGCGGACCTAGTCGCCGACAAAAGCAAGGCGTCAAACCATACGGTGGATCCTGTGACGGTTCAGTTGTCCGCTCCGACAAAACCGGTCCGTCAGTGAATGATTGCCAACAGCTCTTGGTATTTGGTACATACCTAATGTGACTATCCTGTAAACCAAGAACCTAGAGCTAGGGTATCTTATCGACAGGTAGGTGTCACACTTGTGCTCCGTTTAATGGGGTACGTGTACGATTTGTTTCGTTCTGTCCTAAAGATCCGACCAGCCCATTAATGTGCACTGATGTAGTCTTTGTCGAAAATTCCATTCATGGACCCCCGGTGTTCTATCAGTTGCTAGCATCAAACTTCAAATATGGAACTGCAGGTAGAAAGAAGTTGAAAAAGAAGTATCATATCTACTCAAACATGTTAAACAGACAACATTTGCAGCAAATCTCTGGTTTCCTCGAAGTAATAAAAACCCAAAATAAATCCATGACTCCGTTCTTTATGAAAGGCCTCCACACAGGAGGTTGAGACTTACGGAACAATCTTTGGATTCGCCATACAAAAAGGTGTTTGGGAGCAGGGGTCCGAAGGTATCTGAGTCCTTGAAGAGAATGTTGAGTTGACATTGGTGTACTGTGCTGCGCTGGATGCAACTGATTATCCTTAGAAAGCCAGCCTAAGTGTCGTAGTCCTTGCAAAGATGCCACGAACAGCAAAACCAGTGGTCCAACTGGTGCCATCAGGGAAGGCACGAGCCGCATTGGATATTTTCGTAAGACAAGCATGAAGTTCGCCAATTTGTGGGACTACTCGCTTAAATGTATGGCATTTTGAAGAGCATTGTGTGGTGTATTCCGAGGAGACGCTCATTTATCAACGTGCCTAGAACTCCCTGAAGTTGAAAATCTTTATCAACTCTTGGATTACCGCGGTGAGCATCCCGACCATTGCATGCTTCCGCCTTTCAGTTAGGATGTGCATATCTGCATGATGCTATTTTCAATTGTATGCGAACTGTTATCGAGGATCGCTTGAGTTTCAAGTTAGCATCAAAGTAATTTTTAAATTCACAAACTCATTTAATGTGGGCAGCATATACATTGCACAGCTAAACGAACTCATATGCCTTAAGAGGCGATGCCCTCCGCCGTGTAGTAGCTGCTGGGAGGGCCGTATGTAGAACTGCTTGCAGATAACAAGCGGCAAACTTTTTCACCAATCTACTCTACTATCTTTACTTCTAGTCTTACGGTCTGGCAAACGAGCAGGCGTTCAATAAATCCAATAGATGATGAGCTTGATCACACTTCTTGAGGAATGCGACAGCTGAGATCAACTCGAACCCTATGGCGAGACGCATTTGTCTAGTGACCTTAGCTGACATCGCACAAAATATCACACTCAATGGTATGTTAAATGCCTAGTAGATGGTCTTTAGACGAGACAGACGCAACGCTTGTTGTCAGTATGTCCCCACTTCAGTTTGGACTAATCAAAGCGCATAAGAACAGGGGAAGTTGTTCACACGGGTGGGATGCGGATGCATTTTTTGCTTAACCTCGCAAACTCGTAGGCCTCCAATTTCGGCAAAATATTCCCGCAGATCCCGAATATAATTCATCCCGATGAACTATCAGACGTCAAGTCAACTAATGCATACTCACCGACCGTGAAATCCGGTGGATGTGGAGGGCTAAGGAAATGGAACAGATGCAGAATGACTGAAATGCCGGAAGGTTATTTAGATTGATCCGTGCGATCAGAGTGACGCGACCATTCACATTACAGAAGACTGCGTCGACCAGTGAGCCAAGTGCTTTGATGAATAATTATCGTGGCCACCTACCGCCACTGAGTCGGATTACCGAAACGCACTAGAAACGTGGATGGGGAACCTGCAACCCAGTACGGCCTGGGAGATTTATGAGTGCATTTGTTCTCTCAAGCGTAACGGAGCTCCTGGCCTGGATGACTTCCCACTCTCATTGTTCAAGTATGGGGATAACGTTATCAGTCAGCATATTTCCATTCTATTTGCCTCTGACTGGGAAAGAAAGACTATCCCAGATAATTGGGGATAATCGGCGATAGTGCCTGTAGTGGATGTGGTAGTCATCGTGGTATCAGCTTGATTTCAGTCGTAACTAGCTCCTTGGAGTCTTTTCCCTGGTCGCCTTATGGTAGCCCCTGGAACATTGAATCGAGAGTAACAAGAGGAATTTCGCCCTTGTAGGGGTGCTAGAACAACGCCACACGCATAAATGTCCCATAAATTTAGTACTCCTATGTTTCCAAGATGCATTCGACCAGTCTATTCTAATTAGAACACGCCTAGCATGGAATGGCCCAGAAGTTTTCGATCATAATGGAAACTTTGTATCCTCAAACTTCCGGGCGGGTGAGAGCATACGGAGAGCTCTCCAAAGGCTTCCATACACAAAGTGGTGTCCGTGAGTAGTTCAAAATCTCTCCACTCCCATTTAATTTTGTTCGACCTGATTATGTGACAAACGCTGGAAGGTCTCCAAAATCCATGGGTTCCAATACAGACTGACGAAAACCCTGTCGACCTGGAATATGTAGACGATATCGTTCTCGTCTACGAAGAGAGGGTGCGGATGTTTTTGGATGAACTGAAAACAGTCATCCTGTGCTTTGCTGTGCGGTTTACATCCACAAAATTTAAGGTCTTGCTTCTGAACATGCAGTCAGACAACACTTCATTTGCGATCCAAGGAAAGGCATTCGAGGTTATGGAGCCTTTTACCTATCTTGGAAGTTGTACCAGTGCGTTTAGAGTGCGGTAGATGTTTTCGCTACACGAATCTAAAAGGAGTGGATTGCGTTTGCTAATTTAAGATGCCTAAATCTCAAGCGACATGTGTATCAGGCTGAAGTACGGGGCTATTTCGTTGTATGGCCTAGGTTTTACCTCCGTGAGCAACCGGAACGAGACTTCACTTCTTCGACAAGCACGAGTTTGCTTCAGCTCCCGTTGGAACATGCGCGCTCCTTGCTGAACAGTTTTGTGTATTTCTGTAAGTAGTTCTTGTGCACTCCTTCCCGCGATATTCTTGAGTAGGCATTCCAGGTATGGAAAAGTGTTTGCACACAATTATGCGGTTGATAAAATGGTAGAGAAGTTTGGATGTGCAGTTCCTCTCCTGATGAAAGGCCAATTCACCCTTTTCGAGAACCAGTACTCATGTGACAAATCTCAGAGGTGTTTTCGAATCTGCAACTATGCGTTATTTGAACATTACATCATTTGGTCACCACTAGTGATCAGTAATATGAGTACCAGGCATGGAGACAGGGAACAGTACTGCAAGCAAGAAGTTTGTGCCACACCATAAGGTGTTGACTGGCTTTCTTCAGATTAAAGAAGCATGCCATTCATGGTAAACGGCACCCGGGGAATATTCTTGTAACATAGCGTACCACTCATAAGGTT